AAGTCAGAAAGGGAGTAATTTCATTACATTAGAGCAGCCAATCTATTACAAGCTTTTACCGGCTTTGTCACAGAAACAATTTCATTAAAGGAAGGGGTTCGTAAATCAGCTGGGGTCACGATGCTGGACGAGCAGACGCGAGGGGCACTGCTTCTTTTTTGATTCTTTTTCCTTTTACTTTAATTTGCAGACTTTGCCATCCGCCCCTCCTTCTCTCTATTTACCCCTCCCTCTTTGAGTTCTTAAAGGAGATGGATTTGAAAGAGGCTTGAATAAAGAAGGAGGAATCTAAGCGCTTTCCTTAAGTCATTTGTTCGGCAAACAGAGCTCCGGTGACATCTGACCCGTGACAGACACGGTGCCTTCGCGTCTTTAGAGACGGATAATAAAGAAGAATGGAACATCTCTGGCATTTCTTTCACTCCATCCCTCCTTTCTAAAATACATGCATCTGTCTCCATAATTGCTGATGGGACAGACTGTATGGCAGCCACCCGCCGCAGATGCATTAACCATCACTCTGAAAATTAAATAACCTTTATGAGCAAAAGTAAAATGTTTGTCTTTTACGTCTCTTTTTCCATCCAAAATGTAAGACTGGCTTCTGTTAAGAATAAAACAATAACATAAGCCAGCGCTTTGACTCTAAATTGTATTGAAATCACTTTTATAAAATGGCAACAACAGCTTATTTTTTAAAATGGCAATCACCAATTATATACTGTAAATGATATGTACAAATTAATTTGTTACAAAAACTGTAGCAAATATGTGTCTTTATTTACACATTGTAAATACAGACAATAAGTCTGTTGCTTCATTTTGATATATGGACATCACTGAAAATATCAGTTCATTAAGAGAGTCAGATGTTGATTCATTAACCACTTTAATCAATTAAATTCAGTAAAGGATTTCTCAAACTGATTCAAACGAGTTACTAGTTCTTATGAACAATTCATTAAACGTATCGGCTCATTTGTTCAAGAACTAGGCTACACTAAAAAGAACTTGTTCATAATACCATAATACACATTTGTTCATGAATCAGGATAGACTGGTCTGCTTGCTTTCAACTCAGCAAAATACTTTTTTGTCATTAATTCATGGTATGCAGTCTTTTTATTTCACATATTTTGATATAAATGCTTTAAAAGAATGTCTTTTTAGCATTCCTATCACAAGAAGCGCCTCGACCTATCATTTTTACATTTACATTTAAGCATTTGGCAGATGCATTTATCCAAAGCAACTAACATTGCATTCAATCAGTTCATGCATTCCTTGGGAACTGAACCCATTACCTTGACGTTGCTAGCGCCTTGCTTTATACTGCTTGAGCTACAGGAACGCATTTTTCTATACTCAAAGGTGATTGAAACCTTATAGATTTTCTACAACAGCACCCTCCCAACAAAACCTGCTCCAAAATCAATTTCCTCACAGTTAATTTGTTAATAATAATCTCAATAAAGAAAATTCCACAACAAGTAATGTAGTTAATTTGCCAAACAGCAGGTGTTATTGTGGAAACTTAAATTATATTTAGAATTCGAACGTGGCTCATCCAATCAGATTTCAGAGCCATAACTGTCTGTATTTGAACACGTGGAGTTGATCTCTAGAGGACATCAGTGTGATCATGTGCAAGAGACTTTTAACAATCATAATACTGAGCACAGTATTAGCTGTCTTGAATGTACATATGTGAGCATGTGGTGTTGTGGAATATCTGTGTGTTTGGTGATTGTTTGGCGAGGTGGGACGGTTTGGAGGGTAATGAAAGTCCCAGTTTTAATTTTCCTGCTCTAATTAGATTGGCCTTTAATCATCTCAGTCATGAGCCGTATTGGCGCTTTAGAGCTCCTGTCCTGCCAGTGTCCCATCTGGAGTGAACGAGAGAAAGAAACAGATATGGGTCTTCCTTCCCTTCACTAGACTATTAATCTGTCAGAGTCAGTGATGCTAACCAGCAGCCGCATGGCCGTATTTCATTCACGCTCGATAGCTAAAACAGCAAATGACTCAGAACTAGCCATCAGTACAGCCAGGATGATGCTTGATCAGAGCTGCAAAACATGAATCTCATATTCTGGTTTTGTTACACTTTGATTCTTCTCATCTCATTCAGTCTTGTCTCTTTTCGTCACTTCTCTTTCTTACGGTCTCTTATCACTTTGTGTCTTATCTCAGTTCTTCTCTTCCTGCCTTGTCTCACTTCTGCTCATCTCATTTTGTCTCTGGTAGTCTTTGTCATCTCTTCTTTCATCTCACTTTGTATCTTCTCCTCTAGTATTGTCTCCATCTCATTTTTGACTCTTCTCTTCTCACCTCTGCTCATTTTATCACTCTATCTTGTCTCGAGTCATGTCTTCTAGTTTTATCTCTTATCTCTTCCTCCACATCTCATATAATTTAGTCTCTTCTTTTCTCTTCCTCTCTTCATTTTTTTTTACTTCAGCTCACCATCTTATTTAATCAATTTTTTCTCTTCTCAATTCATCTCACCCAATCTCATCTTTTTTAGTCTCTTCTCATCTACTCTCCTTGTCTCACTTTTTTCATATTTCTTGTTCTCTTCTTTCAGTCTCATTTCGTCTTCATTACATTCTCTCTTTTCATCTTGTCTTATCGTCACTTCTCTTCTCTTATGTATTTTCATCTGATCTTGTCGTTTTTCTTCCTCTCTTCTAGGCGCATCTTGTCTGTTCTTTTCCAGTTTTGTCTTATTGTCTCAATTCATCTTGTCTCATATTGTCTCATTACATCTGCTCTCATATGATCTAATTGTGTCTTGAGTCATATTGTTTCGTTTTTTTCTGGTCTTATATTGTTTCATTTCTTCTTGTCTCATATTCATCTGCTCTCATATGATCTAATTGTGTCTTGAGTCATATTGTTTCATTTTTTGTCTCAATTCACCTGGCCTCATATTTCATTTAATCTGGTTTCACATTGTCTCATATTATCAAAATTCATCTGGCCTCATTATCTCATTTTGTCTTGTCTTATATTGTCTCATTTTTGTCTAATTTCTTCTTGTCTCATATTGTCTCATTACATCTGCTCTCATATGATCTAATTGTGTCTTGAGTCATATTGTTTCATTTTTTGTCTCAATTCACCTGGCCTCATATTTCATTTAATCTGGTTTCACATTGTCTCATATTATCAAAATTCATCTGGCCTCATTATCTCATTTTGTCTTGTCTTATATTGTCTCATTTCATCCCGTCTCATTTTTGTCTAATTTCTTCTTGTCTCATATTATTTCATTTAGTCTATTCTTGAATTGTTTCATTTAGTCTGGTCTCATTTTTGTCTCATTTTCACAATTAATCTGTCCTCATTATCTCATATTGTTTCTTTTTCGTCTGGTCTCATATTGTCTCATTTCATCTTTTCTCATCTTTTCTCAATTCATCTGTCCTTTATCTCATTTTGCCTGATCTCATATCGACTGGTCTCACATTGTCTCATTTGGTCTCATATTGTCTCATTTCGTCTGGTCTCATATTGTCTAGTCTATTGTCCTAATCGAACAGAAGGGCAGTCTCAGTGTGGATGGGTGTCCTGAGAAAGTGTGTGAGATCTGCCGTCTGCAGAGTCCCGTCTGCTGGGCGCAGAAGCTTGTAAAGCATACAGCGACTGCACCTGGTCTTCTCGGCCATAATTCAAACCCACGCGCAGTCACAGAGTGACATTCTGGGTACAGGAGCATGAAGTAGAAAGGCTTTTATTAGCACCCAGATGAGAGCCTCCCACAGGGGGACAAAAATCAAAGTGTCCACATATTTGAAGACGGGTAACCATACAGGACACACTGCTCTCTCAATTATACCTTGGCTTCAGGTGATGTAGTATTGTGTACCCTACATGTGCCGACACCATTGGCCTCTCCATCCGCTGTAAATAACAAATGTCAACAGAACGAATGCATGTAAGCCCATTTCCCATGAATGTTGATATAGAGCTCATCAGGCATGTTTTCTCCAAAGGATTCGCAATGCATGTGATGAGGGACTCTACAACATCACCCACACTCGATGCTTCTCGAGGTTAACATGGCCGGCGTAGCATGTCTGGTGAACAGTAGGAGGGCACGGCTAAAGCCATAAATGCAGAGGGAGATATTGTGTCTGGTTTATTAGGGTGCAATATAGACTCTCGTTAGCCGGAGGAACCATCTTGACCATTTTATCCAGATGGCCCCTCTATAAAAGGTGGAGGATGCTGGCTGAAGGCGGATGCTGACTCCAGCATGCTGTAGACTGTAAAACTGTGGAGATGCGAGGACAATATAAGAGACAGAGATTCAACCAGCCCTCAAAGCGTGCATAGCCATTTTTAAACAGGACATTAAGGTAGAAAAGTATATGAGAAAATCAATTCATTCCTGGAACGCTGCCTGTCCATTTTTTTCTACTCCTTCCCGTTAAAAAAACGGAGGGCTGGATGATTTCAGCAATTAAATCAAGAGTCACCTTGCCACGCATTACAGAGGCAGGTCAGTGGGAGAGAAACAGGCAGTGCTGCTGACGTACAAATCCATCCTTCTCCCTCAATCCTCGTTAGCCCCCTTTTCTCTAAAAAGCCCTACCTGAAGAAATGAGTGTTGCCTACCTGTACCTATCATTCATCCATCAGAGTGTGACAGTGCACATGACAGTGATGTGATGAGCACTCAAACACTGTCTAACATCACAGACATCACTGTAAAAACGTCAAGGGAAAACATATAGCACAAAAATGCTGTATGTGTGTAAGGGAAGTGAAAGCTCACAACTGCTGGGAATGTTACATTTTATAGTAATGCATTAAAATATTGTCTATAAAATATAACTAATAACATTGTTGCTTTTCATTAAAAGTAATGTGTTAAATTTATTTTGTGCTAATTTTTTTTATGAAATATATGCACAATACTCAAAATGTATCATGCACTAAAATGTAATTTTTTTTTTATTTCAAAATTAAAAAAAAATAATAAATAACAAAAATTGGGAAATGAGCATTAACAATTAAATATCAAGCGGCAACCTTCCGGTCTCTCTCTTGAAACCAACATGGAAGTGACTTAAACTGCAACTCATCGACTGGCTGCTAGTGACTGGCTCCAAAAGGGAGTCAATCCCATAAACCCCCCATGTTAAAACTTTACTGCAGAAAAAATATATGTTTATAGCCTGGTATGTTTACAGTGGTTTTGGTGTATATAGCTAATTTTGCCCTTCATGACAACTGTGAGGGGGGTGAATTTTTTTATAACTCATCTGTTTCA